ACTTTATAATGTTCCATAAGTTCACTATAATTAATACATGAAAACTAACATAATACTGTGATGAAGTTAGTACTTAACCCCAGTGGAAAAGAAAGGCCTACATAAAGGAAAAATAAAGATCCAAAGAAGTTTGTGAACAACTGAAGGCCACAGAAAGTCAGAAGTATACTCTGTATATTCCAGAGTATAGCACATATACCTGATCCCAGGTCTCTTGTTTCATTTAGCAGACACATCCATTGTAAAACAAAAATGTTTCACTAGTGACGGTGTTTCAGCCTGATGCAATGAGGAATGACTGAGATATTAAATCTCCTTCTCCAAAAATGCTTTGTGACCTAATAAAAGGTTCAGATGACCACAGCAACCAATCTCCAAGCAACAGAGCTAAATTTTAGTAATTTTTCAGTGCCACTGTTCATGACTGAAATGATTAAGTCTATTCTTTCCTCAGCCCATAGGTTGAGCTTAAGCAAGAATTTTGCTGTACCAATGCATTATATTCAGACCCAATAAATCAGCAGCTATTACAGCGTCTCTAGGGCTGGGTGTTTGGGGCTTTTTTTCTTAAGGTAAAAAGTAGCCACTGGAGGCATGGAAGACACTGGGAAGTTACAAGGAAGAAAAGTGTGATGGGAAGATCTCATAAAAATGCTGGTGCCAGTAGTCACTCAGGTGCACCCAGAGAAATCTGCAGTAAGATCACGTAAAAGAGTTTGTCATGGAGTACTATGGACTTAAACCACGTGCCCTATACTGGGATGATGTGACAGCCCACAGCAAGTTTCATGGGGTACAAATAATTTTACTGATGCTAAGAAAAAGACAGCAAAAAACACTTTTTGCTTCCGTCTACTGTTTATACGGTGACATTCATAGCAGATGGAAATAACACTAGCAAGTTATTTTTAGGTACCCATTGATTTCAAACTTGAGCTTTCTAGTACAGTTTGACGAAATATTTGAACTACAGAAAAAATAACAACCTCTTGTTTTCCCCTCCTCTAGCCTTTCCCCACCAAGAAAATACCCAATCAGTTTGGTTCAGCCTCTTGATGTGTGTACCAAAGCTACTACATATAAATCTCAGCTGAGGAGCCAGAGCTGTCAGAAGACTATATGTATCAGAGCTTTAGACTAGGTGCATCCGAATAGCAAAGTAAACCTACCGCAAGTGACAATCCAGAACAGTCATGAGACACAACACAGACAAGGAGGACATAGAAGGAAGAAATAAAAATTAAAACATCCACATACAAACATTAGCAAAAACCATGGAGAAATGACCTTTTTTAGTACATTCTTATAATAATTCGGCTCCCCAGACTGAATCTTCTCCTGTCCCCAGCTCTTGGCAGAGTTGTGTACTCTGCTTGAAAAAGTAACCATGGAGAGATGTAGAAATGTGTTTGAAGACTGAAAGCCTTGTCTTATTTCAAACTCTTCTCTCACTTCATTGCAATCAAATTTGCTCGAAATCTGTATTATTTCACAGTTTCTCATTTAAAAATCAGACTAAAAGTTGTGTTCAGCAAAGTGGTCATTCTGAAGTGTAAGTCTAACAGAAGCAAAAATCATTTCATTTTCTATAATATCTAGCTATTGTGCTTGACTATTGATCCAGCTGAGTCTCTGTGTCAAAAGTATCTTCACTTATGCCAAATTTACGACTCTATAAGGATTTGGCATGGACATGCAGGTCCGCATGAGCACATGTAAGCCAGAAGTTCTCTTTGACAAACTAAACCAGGCTAAGCTGGAAATTACACTTCCAGAGGCTGATACTGCCAAATGCTGCTCCCTTTCAAGTTTTGTGTGCCTAGGGAACTAGGATCTTGCAAGGTGCCAAGTGCCTATCAACTGCTATTATGTTCTCTCAGCTGAAGGCAGCATGTAATTAGCACTCATATGTTCAGACTTAACAATGACTGAACTAAGCTTATTGTTTTTTGACAACATTTAAGATTTTTGGTACTGTACGTTGCCCTTTATAAAGGCAACAGATTAACATCCTGATTTACAATTACTTTTCCATTTTTTCACCCCTTTCTGTTCTATGACAGAACCTCGAAAGTGATTCATTGCTCTTTTGTGAAGTATTTTACATTTAACATTGCACTGAGCTCAGCTAGGTATACTAAAGCCTGCACTAATAATTTCAGATTAAATTGCCATAATAAAAAATCACTCATATTGAAAAAAAAAAAAAAAAAAAAAAAAGACAGCTGACTTTTGAAAAATCAGGAATTAAGTTGTTAGAAACTATTCAATGCCAAGGACCTAAAATGTATGCATTACCAACTGGTATGAAATTAAGGGAGGTAACTCAATCAACTTGCTTTAGAAATCCCAGACACATAAGAGGAAAACTGGCTAGAGAGCTGGTGATGCAGTCACTTAGTAAGGGTCCACCATTTATATTTCTCAGCTGAGAATCTATCCTCATCAGGTTTACTTTGCAGACCAAACCACATCAGTTAAAACACAAAATATTTGGGCAAAATATGCTCACATACCTATACAGAATACTTTGAATGGAAACATCTTGAAATACCTAACGGTGTAACATTTCAAAGTTTGAGCTACTTTTTTGATAAATAATAAATAAGGAGCCGTGAATCAGCTTTTAATCAAAATTTTCCAGAAAAAATAAAGTTATTAAATTCAATACTAATTACATAATAAAATTTTGCATTTTATATATTTATTTTCCAAGAATCCATGGTCATTTATCCAGGTCCTAACAAATACAATTAAAAACACTCAATTATATATTCTCAATACAACAGTGGTCTTAAATGATACGGAAGAAACTCCACATTAATATCAATAAACAAACTGCACATTATTTATCCTGCAAGGAAGTATTAGGTTTGTTATAATTAGTAACATTGGTAGAACACAGCAAACAACATCGCAAGGGATTTTTCCACAGACATAATCAGAGTTCTTTCGAATTACCTTTGCTTCAATGGAAAGAAGCTAGCTAAAAGTAGCCCTGGTAAACCAACAATTGATGAAGTGACTTACCATGTATGGCTTGTGGGGAAATAACTCAAAATTACTTAATAATACAACCTCTAAATTAAGTACAGGGAATTCATAAATCCTCAATCTGGGTGCTTAAAGTAAAAGGGTTTGTTTCATATTCATCATACGGAGAAAACAAGATCAGTAAAATACAAAATCTTTTTCAAAGGAAAACACCAAATTTCTGCTCTGTTGTGTTCCAAGTTCAACCTCACTTATCTTTCTGACCTTGAAAAGGTACATCTACATTACTGACTTTGTGTACTGCTGAGGTTGTTTGCAGATATGAATTTGCCTTGTGTCTATACTTGAAGCTTTGCACTTCAGTACACCAACATGGTACATGAAAAGCATCTTCCCTCCTGGTGGAAGAAGGCTGAAGCTGTGCACCAGGGCATCATCTAAAGCTTACTCTATGGATACAGTGTATAGCCTAGAAAATTTAACTGCAGCCTTGCACATTGACATTTCAGCAATGACTACTGTCCACTGAGCAACAACAAAAACTGTCCTTTCAGAAACTGGAAACAGCTGGAGCCATCTAGAAAAATTACAAGATCTCCTCACCCACTTTTGATATTCTTCCTCTGTCATGACTTACATGCCTGGAAAACTCTGCTAGCCTGTAGCAGGTCTCTTGAGGACTGGCTGATGAGCCTCACCAGTGGCTGTTCCATCAGTGTACAGTGACATCCCACCACTTCTGCTGGATTGCTCCATACAACTCTTAGCTACTCTTCTCTAGGCTTTTCCGGGATCTTGCTCTTTATCTGATGCTCCTCAGGCTCCCAGATTTGGCTTCTATTACTAATCAACCTGTCTTTCCTCACATGCTAGATTCCAGCTAATGGGAGGAACTACTCATTCCATACTTTGCTTTAATCTTTTCTCATTGGCTGGATAAGCGCTTCTGAATTACTCTGGCTAAATCTTATGAAAAGTCTTGGGAGCACAGACACATGCAGTATCTTTACAGTTATTGTCAACTACTGAAGAGGTTTCATATTGCAATTCTCTAAGTCTTCTCAGTACTTTTTGTTAGAAAAATAGAGCCCTCTGTCTTTGCTTAAGAAATCTGGCAATGCAATAAGAACACATGAATTCTTTGCATTTATTTGCCTATTTTTCTGCTTATTCTCACTAGCTTTACCTATGAATTTATAACACCAGAATTGTAAGGAAGAAGGACAATAATAAAATCCTGATTAAAAAAAGTAATATTTCAGGAACATATTAATGAAGTCTGTTGTACTGAGGATTAGGTCCTGCAACTTCTGCTTTCTTTAATGAAGCAGATCTAAACGACAAGTTTGTCTGCTCTCATGAAGATGATACTACTCAAAGGGCATTATGCTAATCTATTCCTCTAAGTTACTCCACTGACTTAGAGCTACAAGTATATTCTGATAACTTTAAGCTTCACCTCTTGCACAAAATAAATTCTCTCAGCATCACTGTGCCGAATGCTCTATGCAATCCTTTTTGTTTTCCTTTGTTTGCATGTTTCTCATTTTCTATGCTGTTGTTTGTTTCTCAGTTGACCTTATGGTTTTGTGTAAAAGGAGATTCAGAGTAAAGATCTATGTTTGTTTATCAGCTGTGCTCAGAACTACCGCTAGAAAGATATAAATGCTATACTTGTTCTTGGTCAAAGTCCTGAAAATAGGAAGTTGTACTGTTTGCTACATTTCTGTGACAGCCAAGATACTCTCAGTAAACTTTCTCCTTCCAGAAGAGTCATTACAAATCTGTTCATTTTATTAGCAGAGGAGAGAAACGGGTTGGCTGCTTTATCAGTGATGCCATACCCATATTCACACTTCAAGATGCTATTGAGAAGATGCTGACAATCAGTCGTCTCTTCACAGAGCAACCATCAAGGCAACGAGCACAACATTTTTTTGTTAGACACATCAGGCAGAATTCTGCAAACATAACTCAAGAGTTGAAGAAAAGGAGAGGTACTTTACCTGGTCTTTCATGGTTTTCCCTAAATCTTTAACATCTTTCATGTTAATAGCATTCTTCCCTCCCTTCTCCTTCCCCTTCTTCTTGTTCTTCTTTTTGAACAAGCATTTCTTACAGAGACAAAAGCAGCAGGTAAGGATTAATAGGACTGCAACTATGGCTATGGCTATTAAGGCCCAAGGTGGCACTGGAAGAGAAAAAGAAACAAAAAAGAGAAGGTGGTAAAGGTGTTAGTAGGGTTAAATTTAGAAACAAGCACAGTTCTCTTACAGCTAAATCTTTTGCAAAGAAAATGCCTTGCAGAAATGCCTGAAATTCTTTCTAAAGCACTATCATCTTTTGTATATTTTCCCCAACTGAGCGTTTGCACACACAATGCCAATATCTATCTATTTACATGACTGGTGACACATACCAAATTAACTTGCAGCTATTCCAAAAAAATCAGCCATCTGAAAACAGCATATGATACGTTCGGCATACTTAGGCAGTAGTTTGCTTTCTTTAATCATCTCCACAACCCACCTGGCATTGTGGCTGAACTGGGCAGAACTGGGAAGGAATTTCCTGTTTTCAGAATGGCATCAGATCCAACAGATGAACTTCTTCTCTGCCTGCTGCTGTATAGACTCCGCACAAGACAGTGCAGGTCAAGGTCAACAGCAAACACTAAGGACATGCTACTGGCCAATCCAAGGGCATGTATGCTATTAGTCATCATACCCTAATATTAGCAGAGTTGCAGTACATAGCTAGATTTTCACCCGTATTTTGCTATCAAGAAAAGTATTTGTTCAATTTATTCATTCTTTCCAGGAATCAGAACACAACTGAGTTACGAATAAACAATACAGAACACTTACTGTAATAAAATGGTCTTGTTAAAGATCAGAATATTGGAAAAAAGGAGTTAAGATGACACTCAAACACTCCAGGAGGGAACTATGTTCGTACAGCTCAGTTTTAATGACCACAGATCCCAACACTGAACCAGAACACTTGATACTTTAAATATTTTAAACTGTCATTTTCTAAAATCTCTAAATGCACTCAGGTCTGTAAGTTACTCTGAGTGCGTTACCAAGAGGTCTCTCATATGATACAGAACAAAACTGACAAGTGAATCAAATTTGACATGTTGACGTCAGTGAATCACAGAAGGGAATGGGCAGTATAAATAGAGAAAATTAATTGCTTAAAGGAGCTAAGCAGAGTGTGAAGCACGGTCACAGGAAATTCGACTACAAATTATCAGTTCAGAAAGAGGACAAAGCACCTAAACTTTCCTTACTCTATGTTTCATGACTTTAATTTCTAACTTTCGTTCGAAAGTCCTTGGTGACAGATACAAAAATAATGTAGAAAAATGTTAAACAGTAAATTTTGTAATACATTTTGAGCCTCCAAATGTTCATTATATGCAGCTGCTATAAAAGAGAAGCTATACCATATGTAGAACAAATGAGAACTGATTACTAAACAAATGAATGTTAAAAGATAAAGTGAACAGATTAACAGCTGTTTATGTGATGTATTTTATGGAGTCAGCAGTAAGAAGTCTGCAATAAAAGTTGTATTAGATCTGCACTTATCACAACTTAAAATCTGTATTTCATGCATTACTGCTTTCATTTTTGCTTCATATCAGGTGCAACAGTAGCACTTCATAGCACACCTGACTTCCACAAAATTTTGTCTTTTCACTCAGCACTTGCAAATGTAAAATCATTGCCTTTCACAGGCAGCGTGCCCTTTTCAAATTCAAACTTCACTGGTGCACTTAAACTGCATTAAACACATAGCCTTTGAGATAGCATTTACAGAATGTTGTATTTTTTACCTAAGCTAATTCTTAAGAGTTATGTCAATAATGAAATGATCGATGTGCCTAAACCTATCAGCTATTTGTTTTGCTGCCTTGACAGGAATGCTCAAAGCACCACATAAGGCAACACAGGGAGTATGGGATGGGTTCTGCTGGCAGGGTGGCATTGTAGGAGGAAAAAGAGGCGGAGCGCATCACATGCAGCTAGGATGGGAGAACCAAGGAACTGAGGAGACAGGGAATGTGCGTAGGATATATAAATATGCAAGCTACAGATGAAAAAGCCTGTGTAGGTAGTGAAGTCAGGTGCCTATGTGCTGTAGCTGTTGTGCAAAGCAGTATTCTGGCTCTGTTGCAGTGGTTCTCTGGAGGATGGACAACGTAGGGTGCCTTGGGGAAAATTTCAAACACTTGCAGATATCTCACTTTTTTTTTTTTTTTTAATAATGCATTGTCTGCTTCCATCTATTTGTAATTTAATTTCACCCAATAGCTCTTGTGATGCAATTAAATGATCGCCAAATTAATATCTGAGACACCAAGAATTATACAGAATCCCTCAAGGAAAATGTGCTCTATTTTTGTTACAGAAAGCATAAGAAATAAAGAATAAAAAATTGAGGAAGCCCAGAATCTGGGCATTTTCTAAAACATCTTCAACATTCAAGTCAGAAAAAAACAAAAAGGAATGGATTTTTTCCCCAATGAAAGTGCACTGTCTCTGTCAAGGAGATGTCTCATCCGAACATTGCCACTGACAGAGATTGCCCAATCTAATATTGCTGGCAGTGGATACATGTGTTAGATATAAGAGAAGTGAAACATATTGTTATCACTAGCTTTGATTGTAGAAGTGATGGTTGTTGCTTTCAAAAACATTATCTAAATTAATGTTAATCATTATTACATAGTTCAGGCAAGATTTTCCAAAATTATTGTAGACTTGGAGGGTTTTCGTATTTGTTCCTCTCAACTGATGACATTGCCAAGAGGAGCCTGAATTCCAGAAAAAAGATATTTCTAAAAAGCAGTTTTGGACAGCCCAGAAGGAAATGACTAAAGTCACTCAAACTTTGGAAGTCTCAAAACTACAGTCTTTAATATTTTGGCATACCAACTGTGAATAACATACACAAAAACTTTATGGACAGTATATGAACTTGTTATTATTAAGTGGCTCCCTTCAGAAATTCATAATGCTTAAATCTAGTTAGACTTCCCCACAGATACGATGTTCACGTAATTTCATTTTCCTAGTCATCAACAATAAGGATCTACAGTCTGAAGGCTACCTCCATCTATATTCAATCAGTTTGACTGGGTTCAGTAGTGTACTTTGAAACCTCAGGAGGACTTTGGACATGAGCCATTAAGCAAAAGGCCTCTGCAGCAGAAAAAAGGGTTTGGGTGACATAAAAAACACAGATCCTGACCAAGTGATAGAGAGGTATCAGAGAGCCAGAAGCTTCTTGTACAATTTGTCTTACCTAGTGCCAGCACAAGGGGGTGCTTTGGAACAAGCAATATTTAGGTAAGCCGTCAAGGAAATGCTATAGCTTTAAGTATAATTAATATGTGCATAAGCTTTCTGGTATTTCAGTGCTATTTTCTTTGTTCTGCTCCTGTGGTCTTAAAGACACTGTCATGAATCACTATGTGATTTGGTGAACCTCCAAGGCTCATAGAGACAGATCTATAGGAGATCTGCTGAGGTAGCATAGTTAGTAAGCGAAGTTTTTAATTAGTCTTATTGATCCAATCCAAACAGTGTACACTCAGAAATGCAGGAGTGGAGTAAAAGGAAAATGAAATGCATGGCTTTTCCCTGAGCAATATTAAGGCACGGGAAAGAATAAACTCTCCAGGATTGTGTTGATAATGGAGACATTTTTGGTACAAACACTGCATCCTTTATTCATGCTGAACATCAGTTAGAAATGGAAGCAGCTAAAGGAATTGTAAACTCTCTCTTTCTCTGTGCTATTTCCTACCATTAAGGTCAGCCAGAGTTGAGTGCCTACTGTGGGCGATTTGATGTGCCTGTATCTATTTCACAAACATGGCAGCTGTGGTGCACTGACATTAATTACCATTTCAGTTTGGACTTAACAGTGTGCTGATGAGGTAGATCTTCTGACCATCCCTACATATCATGCTTAGACTCTCTGTGCAAGTTCTGAGAGGGCATGGATGGAAGTAGTGGCAATATTTGCTCATAGAGCTACTCTTGTTGTGCTCCAAACTGCACAGGGCACTCAGCCCATGGGAGCATACATAATCTGAACCAGTACCCCTACAAAGTTTGCAGTGTGGCACTGGGCCCCCAGTACAAAGTGCTTCACACCACAGATTTGGTTTTATTTCATTGTACTAAATATAGCTTGTATCCCACCCTGTCATTAAATCTTGTTCTACCAAATATGCTAAATGTAAAGGAAAATATGTATTACCGAGTTACTCCATTTAAGAGCTACAAATGGAGCCCTTTATATAAACATATCCTTACTTAGCCTTACACAAAATGCTTGGAGAGATACAGGTCTTGGGTCTAAAACTGACATTCCTGTCAGACGATCTAAAATTATCAAATGCCTCAGAGGACATTTCGCTCCCGAGGAAAGGCAGTAAGAGGGAAGTCACAAAACGTGTAACAGCATCAAAGTGCTGTAGTCTGTAAAAGAGAATAAAATCCTTCATCCTGATAATATTCCTCCCTTTCTGCGTGTGATGTCAGAGGAAACCTCATTAGCTTGAAAAAGAATCCAAAGAGAAGGAAGGTCAAGAAAGAACTGAAGAGAGAAAGCTGAATTAAAAAGCAAAGACTTCCATACCAAGGAAGCTATCTAATGACAACTCCCAATTAAGCAATTAACAGCCCCATTTAAACTGTGACAGCAAAGGACTATCAGATGGTGACAGATTCTATATTATAGTACAAAGAAGGCTCATGGTATGTTGCAATTGACAAATATTAATAACCTATATTTCAGAGGGAGCATTATACTTAACAGGAAGATGCAACTGTCACATGGCTGTATGTGAAGCGCTACATATTAAGCTAAATCTCTGGTCACCTAAGCATGAGAGTAGTGGCAGTTTTCATTTATTGAACTGCAGCTTTATTGTAGCTTTTTGCATTTACAGCTTCCATTCAGAAAGCAAAAATAATATATAGCCATATTCTTTCTTTATAGCAACTTCCAAGGGGCAACATTCTGGGAATCCACTCAACTTTCATTAGAAATTACTTTAAAAAAAAAAACAAAAAACATGTACTAAGAGCAAGGACCCAGTGGATGCCACTATTCACAGCAGAAGAAATGTAATGGTGATCAATGTAAAGAAAAGGAAAAACTGATACA